GGGGGGGGGGGGGGGGGGGGGGGGGGGGGGGAAGGGGGGGGGGGGGAGATAGACAGGTGGGAAAGTAGACAGACAGCTGGATGGGGTCACATACCTGCCAACACCTCTGTCCTCTGGAACAGGTTTTCGGTGCGGACCTCGACGGGCTCCTGAGGTGAACCAGGGGAGCTGGTCGTACTGGTCACCTGGTTCCTCTGCATGTCCTCTGTAACTGGCACTGGTACCTGCTGGGAAAAAACAAAACAGAATGAAGGTTAATAAATAAAAACTAAATCAACAAACATTGAAGAAGTCTTTCTTTCTTTCGTCCTTTCCATCGTCAAACAGGACTTTTGACCATCTAGGATTCAGAAATGCCTCTAAAATCCCCTGTGCTGGGATTTTAAACCTGACAAAAAGTCTCTGCTGGTTAATTGGGAAACAACAGTGGAGACAAGAACATGTTAATTGGTTAGAGCTTGTTTTACAAACTGTCAAGTCTGAAAGACAACGTTCTTACTTTCTACAAACCATATCCTGTAAGAAAAATAAAACTATTAGTTCTAGTATTAGTTTGTCCCTGAACGACAGACAGCAAGAAACTAAGTGAAAAAACAGACTCCAAGTCATTTGAACCACTACAGTACAGTTGGTGGAGGAAGTAATAACCACCACAGTGGAAAAGAAATGGAACAGGGCCAGGCTGTTATGGCTTAAGGGGGGGTTTGAGTCTGCTGTGACTAATCCTACACAGATGTTAGAAATCCAGTTTACAGTAGAGTACAGTAGGAGTGTGACCCCACACCCCCACCCCCCCAGAGTGAGATCTGGGATGGTTCCAGAATATGTGATTATGCCCCAGAGCGAGGGCTGTAATCCCTCGTAATTTTGCAGTGGAATGAAAACACGGAGGGAGAGAGAGCTGACGTAAGCACTTGATCTCTGTCCTGAACGTGTCCCTACGGCTTCTGGTATTACAAGGGATTGGACGACACCGGGCGGGGACGGATGAAGACGGACCGAGCTGCTGCTGCGCTGTGCTCTGTTGACTCTAGTTATTAATAGTTATTAATGACTTATCGTAAACATTCCTAAACCAGGAAAGATGGCAACATTATGTCCAGGCCTTAACCAACAACAGCAAAGACGCCAACAGAGTTAATTAAACAACAGCTGATGAAAATTTAACGACCACTGCGACAATTTCTTTTTTTTTACATTTCAAAACAACATTTAAACTTCTGCACTGATGCTATTTGAACATATTAATGTGGCAGGGTGGACGTATTAAATGACAGATAGCTTTAGCGCGTCACGTGTCATCTGTCCTTCCCCACGCACACGTCTATAAAGTCACATTAGCAGCAGCGTTAGCCTAAAAAACAGGAACCAGCTAAAGGTTGTAGCGGTTGTTCACCAGAGCCAGTGATGCTACGTGGTCACACACACACACACACAGAGGCGATGTCATTGGCCTAATTCAAACTGATGCTGTCGTCAATACAATAACATTAATTAAACTGGCTGCAGAGTTAACAACGCCAGTTGAACAGGAAGTGAGCAGAGCGTACCCTGCTGGACTAACTGGGACACAGTATCAGCAAGTACTTGAATTATATAATCAAGTATAAGGGCCTTGTACTGCAATAGTACCTACTACAGCAAAGCACTAACTCCTTAAACCTAAAAAAGATCCAACATCAGTGATCCGTTAATCCATACATAAAAAAGCTAAGAATCCAATCTACAAAGACCATAACTGTCCAATGACAACGACCAATCAGGGGATCCAGAAACACTTATCCTCTAGCTAATTGGAAGAGCTCAGGTGTGGGCAAACTTTGACTCATAGGCCACAACAGAGCGTTCATGTGAACTAAGATAAATGACATGTAAAAGTCATACATAAAAGCTAAAATGCTTTTAGCATTTTTTTACACCATCTATTGGGGAAACGTAGATATTGCAGGGAAAAATACAGAAGTCTAATGATAATATAAATAAAATATATAATTTGGAAAAGTTTGATGGACCAGATTAAGAAGCTGAACGTGCCTCTTTTGGCCCCTGGAACCATAGTTTGCCCACGCCTGTTCTAGCTGATACACAGTGAAAGTGTCTGTGAGTTGTAGAAGTTCCAGTTCCCGCCTCAGGGGGACGTCTTACCTCTGTTCTGATTGGTTTCTTGGGCGTGCTTTCCCGTGCCTTTTCTCTGACCGTGGCCGTGTCCACTCTGGGGGTGAAATCTCTGGTGGAGTCCGGTGTGGGTTGTGCTGCATTGGGCTGGATATAAACCATGCTGACGGTCACCGGTTCCTCCACCGTGTCTTCACCTCCTCCTGGTGGAAAACAGAGGGACAGAATTCAGAGTCTCACCTAAAGGCTGCCGTGGTATCAACGTCTCATATCTGTGGCATCCATGAAACCTTCACCGGGTTTTTTGTATTTCATTTCATTGTTTGATTCCCAGAGTGTGAGAGCGGAGTGGAAGACAATATGCACTATCAGATAAACTATTGATCGGCGCCCTGCCTCCTCCTACCCCAACATGACCTTCTCTCTTCACAGTTACTCTGATTTCTCAGGGAAACGGAGACACGTTTGACCACAAAATATCATTTTGAAGGCGGTCAATAACAAGCAGGGCGGAGGGGCTTCTGGGTAATGTTGGCACGCTTGTCCACAACAGTGTGGGTAACAACGAGGTTGGAATTTATCACGGAATTTATTATTTTTTACATATAAAATATTTCTGCAAATCCTTCTAAAACACCTATATGCTAATCGATGTATATATGCACATACTATATATATACATACATGTATATATGTAAGAATTTATCATTTTTACATAAATATTTCTGCAAATCCCTCTAAAACACCTGCTAATCGATGTATATATGCACATATTATATATACATACATGTATATATATATGTATGTATATATGTATGTATATACTGTATGTATATATGTATATATATGCACATATATATACACATATATATACATATATACATATACATAGATATACACACAGTACATATATACCCATACATTTGTATATCTATAAATATATATTGGTGTGTGTGTGAATTATATATAAGATGTACATATTATTATATATATTATGTATTAAACATACATACATATACATATATAAATATATTATTGTCTGGGTCAGTACATTGTCAAAATACTGACACTACTGAATTTGAAGGAACAATTATGTGATTAAAGATGTGATCGTCTGTCTATTAAGCAGTGAAGTATTTTGGTAGTATTTTCTTACTACATCAAGTCTCAGACATGAATACTCTTCTTGTTTCTGAGAATTTTTTTTTTTCCCCGGTGCCAATTTCATGTCCGACACTCCGCATCCCCGGATCTGATATTAACCTCCAAAAAACCTGCCCGGCTCTTACTTTAGTCTAAGATAAAATCCTAACTCCAGTTTCCAAATATGATTACCTGAAAACAGGGCTGTCAGAGAGGACGGAAAATTCTCTTTAAGTCCAAATTTAAACCTAATTCCTTCAAAAAAATTGGGTTACTGCCCTGAACAGCGTTAGACAGAGGCAGTGAACGTCTGCTGCCTGGAGCCCTGGTTGTCATTGGTGCAGAGGCAAAAAAAACCCCAAAACTTAAGCTCCATAAAACCCAGCGGCAGCAGCATGAAATGAATGTCATCATACCCCGGGGTAATTGCCTGCTGAGTTTGCAAATGTACAGTGTGTATCTTAAGCCAAGTTTGTGAGATTAGGTGTGTGTGAGAGAGACAGAGAGAGAGAGAGAGAGAGAGAGAGAGACTCACCTGAACCAGACCCTGAGTTGAAGTCATCATCATCTTCAGGGTAATAACCTCCTGAGCCTGTGTCATCCAGGTACAAGTCATCAGCCTGAGACGGCGTCTTGGCGGCCTCCGCTATCTGCAGCGCAGGGAACAAAAAACAGTAGAAAATCACGGTGAGAATCTGTGTCTGAAAACTTTTCACTGAGGTAAGACTTGAGGTAAGAAAAATCACAGGTCAACTCCTCATCTACACAACATATAAATACTATGATAGTCATGAGATCACCACCACAGAGAATGTGAGGTCAAAGGTCAGCACAGAGGTCAGACACGTCAGATCCTTTTTTTTTTGAAAATTATCTTTCAAAAACATCCAAGTCCAAACTCCATCACTTCAGGTCTGATCTGCTCCTGTTCTCATTTTAATCAGACGACCACTAGGGGTTGAAAGTGAGGCGATAAGATCCAACAAAGGCCGATCCAACAGTCACTGTTACTACCAGACCAAATCCGTGCACAGACTGGTGAATCACCCTGAGCCAATCACGTCCAAGCCCTCCATCCGTGTAGCTAATCACACACATCCTTGTTTTACAATTAAAAAGGGGCCTCCGTCCAATCAAAACACCGCATCCCTCCCACTGCATTGTTGCCGGGACTACTGGTCAAACTGGTGGGAATGTTTGTGTTCCAGCTTAATGGAGAGAACGGCTGAAAGGATCTGAGTCTGTTTGTGTGAAAAGAAGAAGAAGAAAAAAAAAAACTTCTCAAAATGTGCAATTTTACTCAACGACAACAACACAGGGAAATAACGCCCCCTTACTGTGGATATTTATAACAAACTCCATTGAAAAAAAAAAAACATGAAAGTGGAAAAAATGTAAAACACTTGCAGATATTCTGGTGCTGCTCTGCCCGTGTGTGACTGGAATGGTTATAAACTTTCCCTCGGCAACATTTAGTCAAATGTGTGTTTGGTGAATTCTAAACTGATAGTTCTGCATAAAAATAAATAAAAAAATAGACAAAATACAGAGGTGTGTGATTACGGGTATTTGTCAGTCGGTGCCTGGTGACAAACGGCAGGAACGGAGAAAAAAGTCAAAGGATAAATTATGGTTGGTACATGTTTTTACACAATTTATCAACAGCTAGGACAGCGTGCTCAGGCACAGAGGCATTAAAACCTCAACTAGTTACACAAAAAAAAAAAAAAAAAAAAAAAAAAAACCCCCCTTTTTTAAAGGCTCAAGGTCCCCTTTGCGCCCCCCTTTGGGACTAGGAGGATTGTTGAATATCCCCTAAGTACTGATGTTGGAGTTTCTTTGCTTCTTAATACATTTTAAATTCTTTTGATAAAACAACAGATATAAGATTTTGTGAATCAATTCGACAAATTAAACGACTCTGAAATAACCAATGTGTATCACGCTAGGTCTAGTACCGTTTCCAACAGAGGCCGCGCTAGACCTAGTACCGTTTCCAACAGAGGAGAGTACTAAAGAAAAAAACACACGCACAGATACCAATTTGAATTTCTCCGCCAACACGTTACAGCCGCGGCCGTGCTACATGTTAGCATTTCCAGTTACACGCTGCATTCAAAGGCCAGTGTGTTCAGAAATGCCTTTTAAGTCTTTGTGAGTGTGTGATCGTGTGGTGGTGGGAGAAAGACGCTGGTGCTCTCCATAACAAAGGCACGGGGAGTGTACACACACACACACACAACAACAGAGTGAATAAGAAATAGTGGGGCGGGGGGGGCAAGGGAGGGGGGGGCGACACCAACGAGATGAATCAGGACAATGTGCATCTCCGTCTTTTCCTTTTCCTTCTCGCTGCTCCGTCGCTGACTCCTGGAATAAAAGCCTTTCAGCCGCCTGATCAAACAGAGAATTTGTTCAAAGCAACTTTATCTTAACCTCTCCTGCCTTGTTGCCCTACAAACACACCCCCACCCCTCCTCACTGCCTCACAGTGTGGTGAACTCCTCCGCTGGTCCACAGGTCTGTGTGCATTGATGACACATGAGCACAATGGACCAAAAGGAGACAGGACACAGATCAGATGGTGACACCAAAGGGTCCGGGCCACACACACACACACACACATATGCATGAGTGGCCACAATGTACAAATGCTATAGACGAGGGGTGTTAAACATACGGCCTGCGGGCCAAAACCGGCTCGCTGGGGAGGGTTCAATCTGGCCGACTTACTGAATATTGAAAGTGAAAAAAACTAGTTTTGTCAAACTATATTTCATCAAATATTTATCATAAACCTGTATTTATTTGCATGAAAACAAAGGGTAAAAAAATTGACTTATTGTAATTTTTACAGGTGATTACGTTACGATTGTAGAAACAAAGGGTAAAAAAAATGGACTTATTGTTTTACAGGTGATTACGTTACGATTGTACTGGTCCGACCCACGTGTGGTCCCTGAATAACGTGAATGTTCAGCAGCCTAAAAAAAATAAATACTTAAAAAAATAACTTCTTGTGCCTCGGTGAAATGTTGTCACAGCAATTTTTTGGATCAACCGTGAATAAAACTTATCAAAAACTTCAACACAATATTTAGTAAACTCTTAACTAAACGCCCGATCCAAGAACTCAGCTTTATTCAAATAATCAAATATTTCCACCGTTGTCAGCAACAACCTGGACGACAATGACTGAGCAGGCGATTGAACCTGAGCGGGGTGCGATAGTAGAGAAGCGCTGAGCGATGCAGCCTCCTGCCACATTAATGGAGAGTAATCTAGGGTGGTGGAGGTGAACGGGGGGGGAGGGGGGGGGGGGGGTTATAACCCAGAAGTTGTACACAGTAAAAACGGCCAAACATGCTTTCAAGTGTTCACAGCACAGCCCTTCGTTTATGCCATGCCCAAAGGCACATAAAGCAATTTTTCATGTATCAACATTTTAATTCAGATTAAAGCTGAGCTGTGAGACCAACACAGACCGACCGGATCAGACCAGGACTCAGGTCTGGTCCACTTTGATAAACCTCACAGACTTTATCTGGCCCAGCGGGGACAGGACCAGACCGGCACAGGGGGAGCAGGCGGGGTTTTAAACTCGATAAAGACGACCCGCTCTATCACCGGCACACACGTGCCCTTGTGCGCGGGCTCAGCGGCGGTGGCGATAAACTCTGCTCTTTTTTATCAAACGGGTGACATTTACAGGTAGTCCCTGCTTTCAGCTCTTATCGCGGTGTCGGAGCAGAAGCAGACATTATTCTGCTGACAGGTAGAGCAGAGCCGAGGCTGAACATCCACCAGGTTTCCTCACTGCAGGATTAGCATATCTGTCTGAAAAAGCTTCTCCTGTTGTTGTTTAACGGCAGCAGTACATAGCTTCAGGAAAGCGTGTCAAATTAATTGGCCTGGAAATGCATAATTAGGAAGGTAATGTTTGCTTTTAGCGGGGAAGGTATAATGTGTTTTTTTTGTTTTTTAACTCCAGTTTCAACACCCGAGAGAATAACAAATTTGAGATTCTAAGTAAGTCGGCGTAAAATCCCCCAAAGAGATCTTTTCACAGCAGCACACAGTCGCTGCACGGTACAGACGTTTTCAGTTACGCACCAAAAAAAAAAAAAAAAAATGCCAATAACTAACATCAGCAGACACTTAAGATTTTCACGCCTCTGACTCCGTGTTAAATCATAAGAAAAAAATCAACGACAGAGAAGCCGTACTGCACTATGAACACCGGGGGAGGGTGCAGAAGTATTCTGGAGGAGGGTGGAGGGGGGGGGGAATCAAAGACACACTGATCACATGGTCAGACAACACGAGTGGGACTCCACTGTACACCAGCCCACCTGGGATAGGCCACAAGCTCTTCAAGCTCAGGCTGTAGCTACGTCTGAGTCACCGAAAAACAAATCTGTGTTTGTTCACTTCACTGATGCAACCACTGCTCACACAAGAGGCAGGTGGAGTAATTCCACTGGGGTTTTTTTTTTTTTTTAGCCTCGAACAGACGCCTCAGACGGGCATCACCGAGGGCAGGGCAGAAAAATAAGTCAACGTCTGTCAACCTGATGGACACGACCGTGGAAATCTACATTCTGACTTTTGCGTATTTCTTGAAATGTGTCCTTGAAAACAGACTTACAGATTTATTATTCTTCTTGCCTTACACGGGCAGAAGGTCCTGGGTTCGAGTCCCACGGCATAATTATTTTTTACCAGCTCCATTTTAACACTCCATGGTCCAACAAGAGAATAAAACTAGACATTTTTCATGCTCTGTTTTCTGACTAACCTTTGAATCCGACTGTTAAATTTAGCGTTTTTGCCCCCATGTGTTAACAGGCAGGATACATCTCAGCTGCCACTTCAATAAACGGTTAAAAAAAGATGAACAACCAGAACTCGTCATATGTATTTCTGAACAGCTGACGCGTCGTCGTCGTCGTCGTCTTATTAGAATCCACCAGCGTTTGTGCGACTGGATACGAGCTGGAAGGCATGTGACAACGGCAGTAATGAGCAGAATATGCAGGTGATGTGTTTCTATTATTAGTCGTGAGCGGCCATGACACTGGTGACATCTCTGCTCATTAATAAACTAATAAACCAGCGGGAGAGTTTTTCTCTCTTCCTGCCGCTGCAGCTGTTTGACCGGCCGATCTGAGGGAGATGAGACGAGCCGCGGATGTGGACCGAACAAAACGCAGATGAACGTCAGATGAAGAGGGAGGATGATGGGAGATAAGAGGGAGATAAAAGGCAGCGGAGGGAGTTGGAGAAAAAAAAAAAAAAGAGGGGAGGAGAGGATGAAGGAGCCGGAGCTGCAGACACCTCTGTAGCACCCCCCGGAGGTAGCGCTGCTAAAAAGCCTGTCAAATCAACACGTTTCAAATCCGCAGCTTAAAGGGCCGCAGGCCTCGGTGTACTCTGGCTAACCCCGAGTCTGTCGGTGCGATCGCTGCGGCCTCCTCCTGTAGGAGAGGATGAGGAGAAAACACGTGGAGGGTTAGAGACGGAGTTTTCTTCCAACTGACTCCAGGCTCCTGTTGACACACTGCTTCTAACAGATCAAATATTAGCTCGCCTCCCAGTGAGGCCCTGGGGGGGGTCGGGGTAGGGGGGGCTCAAAGGAATGCATAGGAAC